TCAATGAGACGGTTCAAAGTGCTTCACAGAATATATTGCAAAGCGGATTGACTGTATATTTTGAGGGAGCAACGCGACAACAATAGCATTAATAATAACCCTTGCATTTGATGTAACGCTTTATCACGTCTTCGAGACGTCTCAAAGCGCTTCACATATACTGGAAGGTGAATTGACTGCACATTTTGCGGGCGATACGCAGCAGTTAATTGCGTTCCCACAAACAGTCGTGGATTGAAGTGACCAAATTATTACGTTTTTTTTGTGAAGGAATTATTACCCCCAGAAAAGCGGACCGCAAATCGATTAACAACCGGGCTCCTACTTACTGCGAGGCAAACAGAGGCGTGTGGAGTGAGGAAATTTGCCCAGAGATTTCACCCCGCCTGGGAATCGAACCCGAATACTCTCGCTTGTGAGGCGAGTGCTCTAACCACTGAGCTACAGGAGACCCAATTGGACTGGCATCATGGAATACTAAATTTCTTCAGTAAGACGGCAAAATTGACTACAGAACTGTAGGGTTACACGAAGACTCTACCATTCGCTATGCTAGAATACCCATTGATGTGAACAGGGCGATGGTACCATTGTATTTATTTTAAAGATTTTTTTGGGCGGGTGGGGGGGGGGGGGGGGGGGCGGTCAGCCAGGTATCTGACCCGTCCTGAAACCACTAACCATCAACCTTGCTTAAAGGTAACCACTTCAAGGTAACCAGGTAGTGAGAGTTCCAGTGAGACTTCCACGTGCGTACTCCACCTCCACGTGGAAATTCCCACGTACGGAATGGAACGCGCACTCTCTCCCTGGAGGCATGCAGCCTGCTTACTTAATTCCAGAGAGCATTAGGCACAGGTTGGCGAGAGCCAAGGCTTGGGGACCCCAGAGTGTGCGTTGGGGTAACTGCCGGAATCTGACCATCAACCACAAATCGCATTTGTATCACGCCTTTCGTGTCGGGAGGACGTCTCAAGGCTCTGGACGGTCAGTGATTTGGACCTGTGTTGTGGGTTGGGATCAGGAGGGGTGGAGGGCAGGGGGGGCAGGGTTAGGAGGGCGAGCGAAGGCACAGTCGAAGAGGAGGGCATTGAGATGGGCCTTGAAGGAGGAAAGGGAGACTGAAGGCTCGACCACCGATGGTGGGGTGGGCAGGGCAGGGCCTGTTGAGCGGAGGGAGTGGAGGACAGGTCGATATGGCATTAGCAGGTCACAGCGGCGGGAAGTAGCAAGGCCATGGAGGGCTTTTAAGACGAGGACTAGGATTTTGAACTCTAGCTAAAAGATCAGCTAAAACCCTATAGCTTGCCATTGAAAACACTGTCAGGCAAACTTCTCACTGTCTTTTAAAGGATAACAGGAGATGAGTGGGAAAAAATCCCTGCCCACCCCAATAACTTGTCTGTTCTACCCCTTCAAGGCGTGCTGATGAGTCAGGTTGTCTGATCAGTCATCAGCAGTGCCCTGGAGTACTACAAACCCACCTGGCTCACACCCGAGGAAATTTGCAGCGATTGAAAATACGACCGTCGCATCAACAAACAGGTTCTCACGCGAACCCGAAGCTTTGGGGCTGTTGTGCTCATTCAAGGAAGGCAACATTTTAAGCTTTGCTCATCAAGTGTGGTTTCCAAGAAATGGAAATCCACAAGCACGGTTTTCTGAGATTCAACCAAAAATAAGCGACTTAAGGATAACAAGCTGTAGGTTTCCCTCACGTATAATCTGTCAAAATAGTTAATAATTTGATGTTCAAGTCATAACTTGTAGGACGTTGCCAAGAGATCAAGAGAAACCCTCCTCCTCTTTTCGAACAGTGCCTTGGGACCTTTGCTGTTTGTCTTTATTAATAATAATAATTTGGTCACATCATCTAGAACTGTTTGTGGGGACACTGCTGTACGCAAATGGCTGCTGCGTTACGCCCACAATATATACAGTCAATTCACTTTCCAGTATATCCTGTGAAGCGCTTTGAGACGTCTCGAAGACGTGATAAGGCGCTATATCAAATACAATTATTATTATTATGCTAGGCGAACTTGGCAGCTAATGTGCGTGCAGCAATGTGTCCTATAAACCTTCGCAAGCGAGAGACCTGAGTTCCACTCCAGGCAGAGGGCGAAACCTTGGGCAAGTTTCCTTACTCCACACAGAGCCTAATAATAATCCCTCCAAAACCAAAAACAATAATAAATTGGTCATTTTCAATCTACGACTGTTTGTGGGACATTGCTGTGCACAATTGGCTGCCGCGTTTGCCCACAAATATACAGTAATTCACTTTACAGTGTGTTCTGTGAAGCGCTTTGGGACGTCCTCCTGACGTGAAAAGCGCTATATCAAATGCAAGGATTATTATTATTATTATTATTATAAACAGCCATAAAAACGAATAACCAAATTTTTTTTTAATGTGGAGAATTGTTGGCCAGGACACCGGGAGAAATTCCCTGCTCTCTTCGCCTTTGAGAGTAATTTGAGACATTTCATTGCCACAATGCCCTATAAAAGTACAAGTTCTTTCAACTCCATTTCAGTTGAAATATTGCCATCTTCCTCAGCATTCAAGCTGGTGACTAGGCACTCACTGTCACTGAATTGGCAATGGGTTCAACTAAAACATATTAAGAATGATGGGATCGATATAAACGTAATCTGTAGGCTGCATCGTATGTGGAATTCTTTACAGCTAGTGTTTCGTTTCCATTAGTAATTTTTCCAAGTCATTAATGAAGTAACAGAACAAAGAAATTCTGCAGAAGATTATTTCCTACGTTCAAGAATGCTTGAAAACCCGCATACAAAAAAACCCCACTGGCATCACAGCAGGACAGCCAATTCCCATAAAAGGAAATGGTACACAACAGATATGTTCTAACAAAAGTACTTAATGGGAATAGAACATCAACGTGAGCTGAAGAAATTAGAGAGCCAGAGCTGCTGATGATCTTAATCTCTAGAGCTCTGTTTTGCAATTCAACCGGATTTTCTGCACATTTATTTGGAAAAACTGCAGAAAACTAAATTTAAACCTGAATTCAACACTTTGCCAAACAAATTCTGGGCTCTCTAAGATGCTACGTTGACAGAGTAAATTTGCTCTGTGACGTCCTGTAGCTCAGTGGTTAGAGCTCTCGCCTTTCAAACGAGAGATCTGGGTTCGATTCCCGGGCAGGGCGAAATGTTGGGTACGTTTCCTTATTCCACACGCCTCTGTACACCTAGCAGTAAGCAAGAACCCGGTTGCTGGTCGATTGGCGGATCATAATCATAATAAGGGATAATAATTCCTTAAAAAAAATAATAATAATTGGTCACTTCAATCCGTGACTGTTTGTGGGACGCTGCTGTGCGCATTTGGCTGCCGCATTTTGCCCACAAAGTATGCAGTCAATTCACTTTGCAGTGTATCCTGTGAAGCGCTTTGAGACGTCTCGAAGACGTGATAAGGCGCTACATCAAATGCAAGGTTTATTATATTATTATATAAATTTAGAGCCGGCTGGAATTTCCTTCCATGTATTTGTCGGTGAAAGTGGCCGCAAATTTGTGAACAGACAGCCACAAAGTGAATAACCAATTGTTAAATGCTCCGAGACGCTAAAGGTGCTATATGTAAGTTGTTTCGGTTGTGTCGTTGTTGTGAGACTGAGTTGAAGGACTTTCTTCAACGCTCCATGATCTTTGTTTGAGACAGTTCCACAGTTTTATGCGATCTGAAATTTGTAGTAATAGCAACAACTTTATACAGCACCTCGAAGCAGAGTGAAGACAAGGCTAGGACTAGGTGGAATTTCGGGCTTCGGAAAACGCGGAAAAAAAAAAGATACAGTGCGGATTCTGCGGCAGGAAAGTCAAGCGAGGAGAACAGTGGACATACAAGAGAGAAAGAACAAGAGGAGTGATGATGGGTAACTGCTTGAAGCTTTTTTCTGGTCAGCCTGAGGTCTCATCCCATCAAGAAATCCATTGGCATCCTCAATATCGAAAGGATTGAGTATTGAAATCACACAGAGTTCGATACATAGAAGCTACACATGGAAATTCCCTGTGTTTGGAATGGAATGCGCACTCTCTCCCCCCAGAGGGACGCACCCTACTCAGTTAATTCCAGGAAAGGATTAGGCGCCTTGGGACGCCCAGAGTGTAAGTTGGGGTAACTGCTGGATTTTAACCGGATAACACTGCATAGCTTGGCATTGCAAGCACTTGGCATTGCTCTCCGTGTGTGAGTCGGGTCTGAAAATGACTCGCTCTCATTCACCATTCTTCTCTCTCTCTCTCTCCCCCTCAAACCCAGCCCCCGCCACCGCCCCCTGCAATGCCTGATCACCCACTGGCTTCTTTCTGCAAAGCAACTTGAAAGATAATAAAGAGCTTGCATTTCGATGGCGCCTTATCACGCGAATAGATCTCAAACCAAATCCCTTCCAACGGTTTCAGGAATTACCATTATCTTTATGGGACACTGCCTGAACAGTTCAAGCTGCCGATGAGTGTACTGTCATTGAGGAAGATGAAAGAGTGATCCTGCATCCCACCTGAAGCGCAAAGGTAACCGAATGGATGTACATGGCACATGCTAACACTGTGCTGTTTGTCAAACCAGCGTGGCTGGTCAACAGAGCAAAGGCAGCAGCAGGGATTGTTGATTCCATTGGTTAAATCGTCCACAAAACTACAGAGCACACTTTACACTAAATATACAGTCAATTCACCTTTACAGCATGTTCTGCGAAGCGCTTTGAGACGTCTCGGCGACGTGATCAGGCGCTATATCAAATGCAAAGATCATTATTAATATTATTATAAATTCTGCGAACTATTCTGGGACGCCCTCCTTGACATGAAAGGCGCTATATTTCGAACGCCAGGATTATTATTATTGTTGCTGTTATTGAAATCGATCACGAGCACCCTATAAACCACTGGGGTAAAATGTAATTCCCATCAGTTAGAGAACGAATTAAAAAAAAAACCCTGAACCCTTCAGTTACCTGTCATGTCGCAGTGCTCTCATATCCACATATACAGTGGTAGGGTCAGGTCCTGAAGTCCCCTGCAACCAACAGCATTGGGTAATTAAGACACAACATTGAAAAGGAGCAGGTAGATCTTTAGAGAGTTAAGCAAATCCGTTTCTATCACTCGTAAGCAGGAATAGCCTGTGTGGGACCATTAACTTGTGAAGGACTTTCATCAGTCTCATCAGAGCGGCTCTAAGAACTGCACAGTTTGTCATTTTCACCCAATTCCAAGTCTAATGCACGGGTAAATATTTAAATATAAACGCACGGTTTGGTTACAGTAAACCGCGCTCACAGGGAGAGTCCGCGAAACTTGTCATTTTTTAAAAAAAACATTTAAATATAAGACACCGTGTTTCTTTTGCAAACCTGCGTAATGCAAAGCAACGGGAAAGGAACACAAACACTTCATTCAGCGTCAGCAAAAAAAAAAGCAGCAGAGAAACCAACTGAAATCATGCAACACAGTTACGGTGTTAAGCAAGCAAATTAAAGGTCGATAAATAGAGCTGAGGGTTATTTTTCTCTCTAAAGCCCCAGACAGGAGACAAACATCAACAGGGACAGGGAGAGCGATCTGCTGAGCACTCGCTGCGTGTGCAAGAGCGGGAAAGAACTTCCTTAACTTTACAATAGCATCAAGAACTACTCTTGATAAGCCGATGCCCAGTTAGCATCGGGTCTGTCGTAATCTGACTACCAACACTACAATCTAACTTCACCAGGAATTAAATCATCAGATTGAAATAGATACGAGACTCCCCCACCACTCCTCCTTCCTGAGCCATTTTGACCCAGTTCACCCCAAGTTTCAATGGGTCTTTTGCAATTGTTTTTCTGAGGTTTGTGATTACAATTTAGTTTGAGGCTATGCTGTTGCCAATCCTCATTTCACCACAATGTACTAATTTGGTGCAAAGCACTCAAGAGATTTGTTCCAAGCCAGCTATTGCTAATATCTTGTTATTTTTGGAAACCGACTTTTTATTTCAATGAAAAAAACACCATGGTCAACATTAGAAGTCTGAGGGCTTTTTTTAATGAGGCCTTCGAGGTTTGTGTGTAAGAGAGAGCGAGAGGGTGAGTGAGGGAGTGAGCGAGGGAGGGAGGGAAGGAGGGAGGGAGGGAGGGAATTTGAGAGTAACTAACAATAATAATCCTTGCATTTGATGTAGCGCCTTATCACGCTTTCGAGACGTCTCAAAGCGCTTCACAGGAGATACTTTGAAGTGAACTGACTGTATAATTTGTGGACGAAACGCGGCAGTCAATTGTGCGTAGCAGTGTGCCACAACCAGCCGCGGATTGATAAATTAACAGAGGCCTAACAGAACCTGTGCTGACAATGTATGCTCCGACTTTACTAATCTAAATGAATCCATCGCAAAACCCAATTTGACCCACCGTAGGTTACCCGATTTCTCTTTACCGCCTTTACAGAAACAAGTTTTGCTGACCGCAGCACAGTTTTCCCAGCAAATTCTCAAATCACGAGGGCTGCAAATTCGCTGTGTAAAGTGTCCAATCTCAGGCAGGCTCATGATTAAGCCTCGTTCGAGTGAGAGGGTGACCGAGCGAATGAATATGTATGCGATCTGCTGTTTGCCGTAAGCACTAGTTTTGTTGATGCCTCTTGATACTTTTTCACGTACCCAGAAGCATTTCTGTCACTTACATTCATCGCTTACAAGTTTAAAGCAGTGCTGCCTCCAGGACTGTGGATTTTTTTTAGGTGGGGGGCTGGGAGGATCGGAACAAAGATCCAGAAAAGGAGCATAGTTTAGGTGTCGTGTAAAGCTTTATTTTATTTCCTGTTTATCACTTGAACAGGATAAACCTGAATATGGGCAAAGTAAAAGTATGGACCATTTTATCCTGTGGTCATCTCCAACAATGTACATTGGGGCTCTCTGAATCCCGAATAAAATGACTTTATTTCTCTTAGTTAGCACTGACATTCCGGGTTAACTTTGCAGGTTGTTCTTATCCGATTTAAAGCTCAAATACAAACCCTCAGCTGGCCTGATGGAGCCTTACTTTACAATGGCTGGAAGAGGAGCAACTAGCTGTCCTTTCAACTCCCTTCATCCAGCAGAGGGCTGTCTGGGATCAGAACTTAAGTCATTGGGATTCGATGCAAACATCAAACTTGCAAGACTCACATAGTCTAAGCTGACACTCCAACGCAGCACTGGGGGGCGGGGGGAGGAAGCGCTGTCTCTCGGGTGAGATGATAAACCAAGGATCTTTCTGCCTGTTCAGCTGTGGACATTAAAGATCCCATGGAACTATTCGCCGCAAGAGAAGGGAGTTTCTCCCAGTGTCCTGACCAATAATCCCCCCCAAATAAAATTGATCGTTTGTTCCAAGTCTGTTTGTGGGACGTTGGTTGCTGTGTCCAAATTGGTTGTTGTGTTGGCCCACAAAATACACAGTCGCCTCACTTTACAGTAAATCCTGTGAGATTGGATGGGCCGAAGGGCCTTCTTCACCCAGCACACGTGATCTTGTGATTAACACTGACTGTCCCGAACGCACACTGTTCCCTCTGATCCCGTGACAAGCATTGATAAGGTAAAAAACTAGCCAGGTGGCAACAGCACCAGGGGCCCACACATTGAGACCCTTGGTTTGAACCTAGCCATTCCCCTGGTCCAGATTTCACCTCGATTCTGGTTTGCTATCCTCATCTGTGCTCACCACATGGAATTCACGAGTTATTAGAGGCTCCGACAATTATAACCCTCACCCCCACTCCCCCCCACTTCTATCCACAGAATCCCAAACCAATACGACTCTGTGGATACCAGGGCTACAGAGCCCTGACCAGCCATCAGTAAAATCACCTATTCACCAAAAAAAAAGGTGAATTGCAACCTTTGGCTGAGAAGTTAAAGACAAGGTCCCATTTGCCTGTTCAGGCGGACGTTAAAGATCCCACGGTACGACTTCTCCCGGTGGCCTGGCCAAATGTTCACCACGTCTCCGACGTGAAGGGCGCTGTACGAGCGTGAGTTGCTGCTGTTGATGTTTAAATCGAATGATTCGCTCATGACTGTTTGTGGGATGTTGCCTTGTGCAAAATCGGCTGCCACGTTTACCCACAAAACAACACAATCAAGCGCTCCACTCTGCCGTTTATACTACGAAGCCCTTCGAGAACGTCCTCCCGACGTGAAACACACTATAACGAATGTAAGGATTAATCTTATTATCAGATAAGAAAAAAAAAACTTGCATTTGTATAGTGCCCTTCACGCAGGGTGGGTCTCAGAGTGCAGAGGCAAAAAAAAAACACACAAAGGCACCCTGTTTAAAAAACTGTCAGATGAATATTTCCATGAGTTTGCTTGCTGATGTAATTCATTCCATAGATCTGGCTCACTGACTCCATGCCTATTAAGGATTTTTGTCTCCATTTGATTTTGGCATAGTGTGGAGATTCCTTTCCATCCACAATTGAACTGTTTTATTGGGAAGGGGTGGGCTTGTGGGGAGGTGGGGGAGGTAGGCACTTCGCAGAGCAGTACTTTTCTAAACTCACTTTAGCAGTAACTAGGAACCTGGTTGTTAGTCGATTGGCGGATCGATTTCCGGGGTCAATAATCACTTCCAAAAAAATAAAATACTGATAATGTGGTCGGTCTCTCAACCCACGACTGCTACTGTGCACAATTGGCTATCACGTTTCGCCCACAAAATATACAGTCAATCCACCTGACAGTATATTCTGTGAAGCGCTTTGAGACGTTTCAAGGACATGATAAGGCGCTGTATCAAATGTAAGGATCATTATTATTATTTACGTGAAGCTCGCCAACACTTTATTGCCGAGCGATCTTACCGCTGGAGTGATGGGCAATAAGTAGACTTGGACATGTTGACAAGCCCCAGTCTAACGCATCAAGTCCACGAATATACACCCCATACAGGACGTACCATCTGACTGAGATAATAGTGAAGGGAACAGGCCTTTTGTGTTCAATTCTTAGTAAAAAAAACAGCAGCCTAACAGACTAGCGACGATTGGGGAGATAACAAAGTTAACTGTTCCGATCGTGGTTGTGCAAATTTGTGACTCAAATTCAGAATGAGAACAAATGAGTAGAACAAATCTTATTAACCCACAGTGTTGGTCTAACAGTAAGCAGTTAACTAGTAACAGACTCAAGTCATTAGGGGGCTAATTATTTTCCTTCCCAGCATATCTACGCTGGAAAAAAAGGTTAAAATAATTAATTTCTCCGACTCCTGGCAGAACGCACAACTTTAAAAAGTCTTAAATACTCGCTCGCTGGTGAAATGCTGACAATTTACTTTTTACTCTGTTTAAGGTAGAAGAAATGACCAAAGCCAGGTAGGTAGATAGGTAGGTAGGTAAGTGTGCAGGGTTTGAACCTTGTGATTCAGAGGCCTGAAATCCTTCACGGACTTAATAATATCGCTTCGTCGAAGCGTCACAAAGCGCTTCACAGGATATACTGCAAAGTGGTTTCTTGTGGGCGAAACACGCAGCCAAGTTGCGCACAGCAATATCCCACAAACAGCCACTGGGTGATTGACCAATTTTATCTGGGAGATTGTCGGCCAGAACATCAAACTTAGTCTTAAGGTCCTTTATTGCACTTAAGGTTTATGCTTTTAGAAAATTCTCAAGATTCAGTCTCCAATATAGGCGCCAGCCAACTTTAATCTATATTCAAGAGAGTTATTGACATTGTGAAGACCTGTGCGCCAAAGACAGGATTTGAAGTGTTGGTGGGGTGGGGTGGGGGGGGGAGGGGGGGGTGGGGGAAGCCCTCAAGCTAGTCTTTTTGTGAAAAAAAATGCTACTCCACAGACTGTGAAATCGGACGACTGTTAAGTAAAGCCCGCAAGGTACTGCAAGGAACACAGCCTCCAAATCCAGACTGAATTGAAGGCTTTTCCGAAAATACTGGACTGTCGTGAATTCAAAGACAAAATGGGGTCTTCGGGCTGAGATCCATGAGAACTTTCGGGGGTCGCTGATCCCCAGACTCCACGCTAGTCT